ATTTGGAAAGGGATAATGAATGTTGAATTAAAGATAATTAATTATTTGGTTGAATTAAAAATGAAATTTTACCTCATAATTTTGGGTTGTTACAAATGAAGCTTTTGAAGTTTCGTTAATTACATCTTTAGATGGCAAACTTGTATGTTTTCTTTAGGTTGTCATAACTTTTGCATACAAACTCCATTTTCAATGCTCTTTATATCCACATAATTGTAATTACACACACTTTCTGATTATGGTATTATATATACAAAATGATACTTAATACATATATTCATTTCAATAATACATTTTATTTCACATTTTATGTAAAACGACAAGTATCCATTCATCCAAATTTTTCACAATTTGATGATTTAACTCATAATTCAGATGTATTACAAAGTATAATATTGTATTTACATCAAAAATAGTCAAATATTATACATTAGGCCTATTACATTATTTTTTCCTAATGTTTATGATTGACAATCGCTTACCTAAATTTGACGGTTATCATAATGAGCACCTAAATTATGTTGAGCGATTTATTGCGATTTTAGATAGGAAAAAGAATACTTTGTGCAACAAAGTAGTGAGATTAGTTAAGGTGAAATGGGAGCACTAGAAGGGTTCCTAGTGGACTTGGGAACCGGATGAGGAGATGTGAGATCCCTACCCTTAGTTATTCATGACAACAAATTTTAAGGACAAAATATAATTCAAATGGGGGAGAATTGTAACATCAGTTTTTCAGTTTCCCCGTATGTGTCTCATTTAAATCATTTGTTTGAAAATTTATCAGATTCATGACGTGACCTTGGTGATGATCACGACATGATTGTTTAATGAAAGTCGTGATATGATGTGCTTTCTGCACGACACGACCTAGCTGATGAGTGAAACCCTAATTCTCGGTATTTGGGCCTTATTTAAAGGCTCTAACTTCTAGTGCTACCTTATTTGGGAAACCCTCTCTCTCTCTCTCTCTCTCTCTCTCTCTCTCTCTCTCTCTCTCTCTCTCTTTCTCTCTTAATCCCTAGCTTACATAGTTGTGTTTTGTGCCTTTGATCTTAATCTTATGGAGTTTAGTGAAGAAGGTCCCCCCTCTTGGTGCAAGGAAGTGAAGTTCTATCCTAGATTCAACATTCTCATTTTCAACGTTGACCGTTGCTTCTTTAGATCTATGTTTTATGTCTCTTTTGGTAGTTTGAATCCCTTTCTTGGTGTTATTGGATTTTGGACATCTCCAGAACAATATGAGTGACCAAAACACCTTTTGGACTTATTTGTTGAACAAAAAAGATGTATACATGCTTTCTCTTTAGTCCATGCATGGGATTTGGCCTTTTTAGAGTTAGGTTTAGATATTGGATGAGTAAAAACCATGGGAATGGATAAAACTTGAAACGTTATCCATTAAGTCACTGAGAAGGTCTAGATATGAGGTTGTGGACCTCTACCTAAGTGGTTAAGGATTGAATAGAGGGTGGTTATCAAGCAGCAGTTCACAACACAATAGACTAGGTGTCCCGTCTCAACATCTGGGTATTTCCTAACTAACTTGTCACCTAGTGATCATGACGTGACCAGTAGCTAGTCACGACGTGATTACTGTTGTCCGTTGACTTTTGACTACTTTGACTTTTGGTCAAACTATGGGTTTTGAGTTGTAGACTGAGGTTAACCTCCATTAGGTTTAGGAGGTTTGTGTAGCTGGCTTAGCGAGACTTTGATTGTTAGTCTTCCAACTCATTGATTCAGGTGAGTTTTCTCAATCTATTACTTACCACCGTTTTTATGACATGATCGTGCGTTGTGCTAAAGTAGTAAGGTCTTGTTTGATGCTTGTATGATTACATATCTTGTATGGCTAAAAGAGGTTGTAGGTTGAAACAGATCATTGGCTGGAACAAGCCGTTACTTTTATGTATGATATTATGTGTTGTATGTGATATTTTGGAGAACTCATTAAGTTTTGACTTATATTTGTGAATTAAATGTTTTCAGGTGCTTCATTAGATCGTGGAAAGACGAATATGTGACTGTATACATTTATCAACAAAACACATGTTTTGAGATTCCGCATTTATTTTGTTACACTCTTATTTTAGGATTATGACTTATTGAACAAATGATTGTTATTGTTATTATGATTTGTGAAAATAGGCATTTTATCTTATTTGGAAAAGACAATTTTATTGTGAAAATTGAGAGGTAACATACAAAGTAAGAGGATGGAAATTGCTAACACACGAAACTCTAGGGACCAAATCTACCAATATAAGAAAGTGTATTGGCTAAAGTTGAAATAAGAAAGTTTTGTGGCAAAGTATGAAACTACAAAAGTAAACTATTATTAAGGTTATTTACAGCCAAAATGTGAAATAAGAAAGTTTTATGGCCAAAACATGAAACCATAAAAATATACTATTCCTAAGCCAACTGGTTTTAATATATAGTATAATATAATATAATTTTTCTAAATTATTTTTAAAACATTAAGAAAAAAAAATTCATATTCAAATGAATCTACAATGGTGCAAATATATGATGATTAAACCATTTCAATCCAGAAATAAACACATCAATTTGCTACTGCACTTAACCTGGGAAAATCATATTGTCAATTGAAATAGTATACATTTAGCCCATCAATTTGCTCCACTTTCTTGATATAAGATAGAGAAGTTTCTAAAAAAGGGAAACCATTAATGGAACTAAATTACTACACAAGAAAATTAGCATAAATAATAGCAAGAGAACATGATTTTGAAAGAGGGAAAACATGATTCTGTCACCACTATACCTTGTTTGAAATCAAGAAAGATGCACTTAGAGATGACAACATGAATACCTTCATACTATCATCTCCAACTGGTTTTTGATCTAATGGATTTGTCTACAACTAAAAACAACATAAACTCAACCTTCTTTCAACACATACACAATCATATAGACTCGATTTTTTTTCAAAACACCAGGTTATTTTAGATACAACTGGCCCAGAACTTAACAAATTTCCAATTTTCCATAAATGACCATAAAGAAACATAGTTAACGCACAGAAACAACCAGATTACAAATCATAAACAACAGCGATGATCATGGTAGCCTTGTTCTCACAAATCCAATCTAGAAAGATGCAGATCTGATTTTATTTGTTTACTCATCAATAACCGAGGTCTCATCATTCTTATAAAGCAAATTAAGTTTCTTGTATGCATCCCTGAAATTGTTTCCAGTCATACTGTGTCCGTAATTCGTATCAACCTGCGTAACAACAGCGGATGACCCGTTGTTGGATCTTTCTCGTTGAGCCATGTCTGAGAAATCCGGAGCTTCTCCATTACTATAAGGATCGACGACGATGCCGTATGCAGAATTGTTCTTGTGCACAAAGCCTGAAAGACTACCGGCGGCAGCGCCATCGGTTTCAACCGACACACGGTTGTCATTTCCGCTAAGTTGATTACTCGACTGAATCAGAACACGTACAGCTGCTTCTTGTGGAGGTTGGATGACAACTTCAGTAGGCGCCAACCCGCGTTGACCAACTGCTGGGATCTGCTGCTGAGAGTTGATAAATCCGGTTGAATATGTCGGAGCAGGTGCCTCTGTTCCATATACACCGGCCTCCGTGGGTTCAAATTCTTCTGGATAGTCAGCTTTCAAGCTCCGAAGAGCCCCCGATGATTGGGTAGGAGGTGATGTATAGGAATAACTCATTATGACACCGGAGAAGAAGGTTTTGAGATGTGGTGTTGGGTACTGAAATCTGATGGGGTAGATATAGACCGGAAAAAAAATAACAAGTCAACGAAGTATTTGGCTCAGGTTTTTAGGTTATTTACAATAAACACCCCTAACATTATGGGGTTGTCATATATACTACCCAAAATATCTAGAAGACTTGCTATTTGTTACATGTATATTAAATGATGATTAACATTTTCGTCGGTTATATTTCGGAGGATGATTAAATGGATTCAAATGTGAAGAAACTTTATGTTATTAATAAAACAATTTTCATCAATTTAGTTGCATACTATCAAATCAAGCAAACACAAAAACGAATTGATGTGTGTAGATTAGCGATTAGGATTTATAATAGAGGACGAAAATTAGAAAACTAAAATGAAATGCTCAAGTTGTAGAAAAAGACATGATGGACGCTTGACTATGTCAAGACATTGATAAAATAAAATGTACTATTAAATTGCATTATTATTTGTCACACCGCTTTTAAAGTTGAAGCATTTATGAAAATTTTAATTATTCGCAATTTTTTTTCTAAATTTTTTATTCGTAAAGTGGTCACCAATCTCTTTTAATGGTGATACTAATGAGTTACATTATAATTAAAAAAATCCAAATAGATTGTATTTGATCGGGTGATAATTCCATGTTTTGGTATGACAATTGGTCCGGATTCAATACTTTCGATGTTCTATTCTTGTCTCTATTTGAATTTAATAAACGAAAATTTTGTTTTGTTTATGAAAGATTGTCAAATACAGGACTTAGTTGGGCTTGAAAAAAGTTAATTAAACCTAGAGATAGGAGTTTGTCCCAGATCCCGATCTCGTATCGGTACTGTACCGGAACCGGTACCGAATCCTACCAAATTTAAAAATATGGGACGGTATTCAGTTCTCCAAATAGATGAAATTCAGGATTCGGTACTGCCGATACCGGTACTAGTACCGAAAACCAGTACCATTCCCGGTACCGGTACTATTAATTTGGTTCGGTACTCGAGACTGACTTTCAATCAAATTCGGTTTTCGGTAAATCGGAACAGTACGGGTTGGTACCGGTTCCGTCACACGCTCGTCCCTAATCTAAACCAAGTGGAGGCCAGTGAACTCAATGGACTTTTTGGGCTTATCTCTTCTATTCATTTATCCGGAAGTCCAAACTCTTGAAAAACCACGTTATCTCGAGATGGAGTTTTTCATGTGAATGATTTACCAACCCTTATCAACTTAAAGGTTACTCGTGCCACCAGCAATCCCATGGTGTGGATTAATCTGGTCCCTTCTAAAGTGGGGTGTTTTGTGTGGCGTGCTTGTTTAAATCGCATTCTAACTTTGGTGGTCCTTGCTAAGAGGAGATTAAATGTGCCGAGCACATCTTGTCAATTATGCAACAATGGTGATGACGATACTAATCATGTTCTAGTGAAGTGTCCGTCCTTGAAAACCGCTTTGGACTGGATTTTTAGATGGTGCGATATCCAGGTGCAACATTTCAATTCGGTCACCAAGTTGGTGAGTTTTGCTATCCAATGGGGTCAGTGCCCTAAAAAACGTAAAATTCTCCTTGCTATCATATACAGTTTCCTTTGGTTCGGTTGGAAGGCTAGGAATGATAAGATTTTCAATAATTTGAAGATCTCGTCAATGGTTTTGGCGGATAATACTATCAATTTGTTGTTTAATTGGGTGAATCATAGGGGTACATTTGAAAATTGTAAATGGGTAGTTTGTAGTTGTAACCTCTTCCGCATTTTGTAATTGTTTTGTAATTGTTTGTTTTGTTTTTATCATTTTTTTTTAAGCAGTGGTTAATATAATTTCCGCAGTTTCAAAAAAGATAATAATAAAAAATAAAAAAAAATAACAAATAACAAATAAATTGAATATAACAATTTGGTTGAAATCTCTAAATTAGTTTTGTCAAAACCCATTTCCAATCTCGCATTAAAACACAAACATTTACAATAAAATTCGTACCAAAGTTACTCACACACCATTAAATTCTATATATTTAATATAATTTTAATAAATAATATAGCAACAAGTGACATTATATAATAATAAAGTTTCATTTATATAGTGATAAAGCTTCAACATATAATTTTGAGGCCGAAAGTAAAAAAAATATAAAATTAAGTTTATTACACAAAAAAAAATAATTTTTTTTTCAGTATTTAAACACCAAAATACCTAAATTTACCATTCTTACACATCAAAAAACCATTTTTTGGCAATTAAACACTCAAAAACACCTAATAAAAGAATTACAACTCAGCCCGACGACCTTTAAGGTCTTTAAAATCATCAATTACCGACTTTTGAATCAATGTTTTCAGCAATTTCCCTTTCTATGTAAACAACTAAATTGTTTACGAGAAAGCCATCTGTCATCCTATTGCGAATGCAGTTCTTGAATATTTCCATTGCAGAAAATCCCCTCTCTGTTGTTGCGGTAGAAACTGGAAGTTTCAAAATTAACCGAACCACTCTATCAATCAAATAATACGTCTCACGTTTCTAAGTTTCCATAAGTCTCTTTCATAGGTCACCAATAGTAGATACACCACTTACCTGAGATTCTTTGTCATATCAATATTAAAACCTCTAATTGATATCGTAATTAAATTCTCTCTTACTCCATAAAATCTTCACGATAATACTTCTAAACAAGAAGACAAATCTAATCAATGTTAATCACTTTAAGGTGTTTTTTTGAAACTAAAGTAGAACAAAGACGTAACAACTCCATCGCCTGATCATTGAATCTACTATTCAACTCGTGTAACTATTTGTCCAATGTGAATGTAAACAAATCTACTCGATTAAAATGTTTAAAAGTAACACGATTATTTGTTTTTCAAGGTCGATATCGAGTAGAGTATATGGAGCATTCATATTTGGCATATCTATTTGATATCTCTCATAAAAAAAAACTTGTACCTGTGCAAGTAAAGAATCCCATTCGTTGTGTACGAAATCATTTATACCCTCCTTTGTTGCTGAATCTAACTCCATGGAATTAAGAATATATTAGGATTTCTTTTGTAGAGCTTGAGAAAGTATATTAGTTTTTCCCACTAGTTCCTTCATCAAGTGAAGAATAAACACAAACTTAAATGATTTCAGGTAACAATAAGTTGCATCAGCATCTCTACATTGAGAATAAGTAGCAGACATGTCATCAATTATTCCTTAGAGCACAACAGGAGTACAATCAAACATGTTAAGCAAACTACAGATGAAACGAAGATGGGAAACCCAACATATATCACTAGCTCTTTTTAATGTCCCAACTTGATTCAATCCTTTGCCTTATACAATTTCACCAAGTTCCAATAAATGCACAATCTTAGTTGCCTTTGCCTTTTGTAACAACATGACGCTTACTAGAAGCGCAAACCACATTAATTGTAAAAATTAAGTTTGAAAAAAAATTAGTGCACAAGAATAATTTCGCTTGAAGCACCCACCGGTGTTAGTTGTAATCTGTGAGCAAATCAGTGAACATAATACACATAAGGACAATCCTTAAGAACAAGTGCCTATAATCCATTCCATTCCCCTCCCATGTTACTAGCACCACCATACCTGTGACATCCCCAAAATCTCGGCCAGAAAGGATCGATTTCATTTATGTTTTTTAAAATAATTTTAGAGTAAATCCTTTTGATTTAAAAGAGTTGCGAAATTTGTTCCCAAAAACAAAATATAATAAGATAATGTTTATCAAAGCATTTCATCAAGAGATGCATTTTCATTATATAATCAAAACTCGGGATGTCATGTTCCGATACAGACCATAAAGCATAAACGATAACATTACAAGTCATTCAACAAATATATACATATACATACTTGTAAACAAAACAACTTGATGATTCATCCATCTTATGCCCTTGCGCCCCTTCCTGTAATACAAATAAACTAAGTGGGTCAGGCTTCGGAGCCTGGTGAGCATATAGGGTTTTCAACCCACAATAAATAATTATATTTAATTTCACCAACGAACAATACCCTGATCACCGATTCCCGTTATCCTTACTTTATGTCCCTAAAACAACATCTATCTCAAGGGACCTAATCTAGGATTTTCATCGGGACATACATTACTGCTAAGGGGTTTCCTCAGCAATAGATGACCTAAAGACAACTATGAGGAGGATAGAGTACACCGGTGAACACATCGGTCACAACACCTACAGGTTATGAACCTGCTAGCGTTCTACTGGACTGTCTAGAAAGAGTCTGTGGTCATCATCCATACTCCGCTAGATGACTAGGTCAACATCAACAACATCGATGCCTCTCATATGTTTATCACACATCAACTATATACCCCTATTCTATCCAACACATTAGTAGATAAAAATGTATATTTTTATACACATTTTAAAACATGTATGTCACACCCCCAAACCAAGGATGGCGGAAACATCCGGGGGTGGACGACTTCATGTATAGTATCATAACCACAATTTCAATAGTAATTTAAGCAAACACAACCAACATATATATAATTGAAAAAGCTACATCACTTGTATGAGTTACATGTTTCAAAATCAATTACAATATGTAGACAAAATATGAAAAGTTTGATGCCTTAACGTCCCATCCTCAAAAGCACTTGATTACCTGTTTAGTGTTTTCCTGAGAATACAAGTTGTTTGAAAAGTGTCAACACAAAGGTTGGTGAGTTCATAAGCTTTTATTAATAAACTTAGTAGAAGTCTTTCACATGTAAATGTCGCGTTTGTTTCAGAAAAATCCGATACTTTCCTTGAAATCCGAAAAATGTAGCCTTATAACCAAAGACTAAAATGTATAAGAAATCATCATTACTTAGTAGAAATGTCGTGAGTTTAAAATGATATGGAAAGTAAATTTCTTTATCAACCTAAAACCTACTTCGGTTTTATGAAATCCCGTAAACTTTATGAATTGTTATCTCCCTAGGTGAGTCGATATAATCATACTGTGACTATGTGAACCTGCCACAACGTTTCTCAGGCGTCGCGAAAATGAAATGACATTTGTCACCCGTAGACCTGCAGGTCCCACTGTAGCTAGCAGCAAGGTGTGGGGTGTCAAACCCAATATAGATCTATATACAAGTATCACGTTCTCCCTCAAGGGGATTCTGATTATAACTACCAGGAATTATATCCTGCACTCGGACATACGGGGAGAGAGAGTGTCTCACAACATAGGTTAACAAGTTTACGTGAAATGTGTGTGGATATAAATCTTTCTTGTATGAATGTACCCTTTTTGTACGAGTGTGTGGAGGGATGTATCATAAACTATAACTATTATAGTTTATCTAAAATGTATATAATATGTATGAATTCTTTTATGGAAATGTATTAGTGTTGTGAATTTATCAAACTATACTTTTTATAGTTACATAATACGTGTTCTAAATGAATGAATAATATTTAATATGAATGACTTAGTTTCATTTCATAATGATAAAGTAACAAGGAAACACATTCAAATATTAGAACTTATGATTATACACTTTGCTCAACATAATACAAAGTGTTATGATATTTACATGCTGTTGGCTAACTTTAGCAATTCTGCCCTGTTTTGGAAAAATCATAGAAAAATCATACGAAGTCGAAAACTAGATCCGTAAATTCTGAAAGTTCAAAAAATGTGTCTAGTTTACTCATAATTTTTATCACGATTTTTAATGACCTATAACTTGGGTGAAAAAGTCCATAATCACAGAATGGTCCGGATTGTTGTTTGAAATGATTGGCAGTTTTGTAAAAATCACCATAAATTGTAGAAAAATCGTATGGAGATGTGCAAGTAGTCATTTTAAAGCTACAAACTTTAAATATTTGCACCTTGGACAGTGTTGAAAACAAAAATGTTTAAGATGCCCAAAACAGTCCGTGAATGGAGTTGAACTTTTCTGATGAAGGCTGTTAGAAATATTTAATTATGTTCTTGATGTTTTAACTTGTATTCCCCCCCCTGAAAACTTGAGAAAACATGGAAATGTAGGGGTATGAACTCACCTTAAGTGATTTCAGTAGATGATTGTTGAAGAATGGAAGTGTTTAATTCAAGAACACTTGGAGATGCCTTGAAGGTTTTCGAGAATCTAACATTATAGTTATGGAGTTTGTGTAAGCAATCAAAGATTTGAGTAGAAGGAAGTGAAATAATAATAGGGAGGATGAATTTTTACTTACTAAGAGTGGAAGAACACTTGAAATCAGCCTTGAATCTCGAAAATTTGTGTAGAAAAAGTTTGAGAGAAAAGTGGTGTTTGTTACTTAGTGGAATGAGAGAAATGAGAGAAAATGAGGAGTGTGGTTGTTTGTTCTAGCTCAAAAAAACGTGGGAGTGAGTGAAATTTGAGTGTAAGGGGACATTGAAGTGACATAGGTAAGGTGGGGAGGTATGGCTGGTCATAGAGTGGGTGTGGGGTGGTTGCTTGTGTCATAAGTTAAGGCAAAGTCAACACTCCACCTTAAATAAATCCCCCATTAGATCTTTATTATTTAGATAATGATTTTCATAAAAATATGTTTAAATTATGAATATTTAGAGTTTATTATGTTAAAATATAATTTCTGGAGAAAATCCCGCTTTAAAATCACAAAAAACGGGCTTAAAATGTTAAAAATATCAAAAATGGGCTAAAAGTGACAATTTCCCGAAGTCTGGCCGAGGTTCGGCCTTCTGATGTAGAAACCGAGAGAAGGGAGGGTAGAAACCGAGGGGGGAGAAGAGAGAGGGAA